TTTAATCACTTGTAATGAAAAAACAGCAATTTGTTACATTTCGTACCAATGTTAATATATTGAGAAAAGTTCAAAGACATTAAACATAATGATGAAATAAAAGATTTTCTCATGAGGTATAAACTTGTCAATACCAGAAGTTGGTGGCATCTGACTGACTGGTCACATATCACTGATTTATTTAGAGTTTTGAATGTTAACCTTCAAATCTATTATAAATGAATATTCATAATAAGTGTTTTGTGTAATACACCAGCAGAACAGCAACAATTCTGACTGGCTCACAGAATCAATAAGTCTATACCTCACAAATAAACCCTGCTTAGTTCAGGAAATAATAGAAACATTTTCAATCTCTTTATAGATCATCATCAGTTTATACAACTACAGTAAATTAATTAAAACAAAGAACAGCAGTTGCAAGTATGTACGATCAAAGAATATTCAAACGTAAAATATGACTTACCAATAGAACAGAATGTAACATTTAAATACAAAATATTTCCAAAATAAAACAGATAATGCAGCCTAGTAGAATTCCAGATTTAAAAGAAAGATAGAAGTTAAATGTAGAAAAACAAATGTAAATAATTGCTGCTAACAGAATTAATCGACAACATTTAACATATTCATAAGCAGATAGAAATTGCAACACACACATAGTACAGGGGGTCATGTTGCCTGTCACAAAATTCGTAATTTGCAAAAATCATATTCATCTGGCAATTGGAATGGTAAATAGCCAGAGAACATTCACTCAATGAAAAAGAGGATCATAAAACATGAATCGATCTTGGTTTGATACAATTTTACTGTTAACAAACAAAAGTAAAAATGCTTGAGAAACTACAATAGTCATAAAACTGCATTTTTAGTATATTGTTATTTCGGATTGGTACAAAAAGTCACAGTAAGCAAAAAATCTGGCAAATAGCTTTCTATTATGGCAAAAAAAAAATGTGTTTGGCAAATGGGTTGGCAATTGCTATAAAAAAATCAGGGTAACCCCTGCACACACATTTGGGAAAGTAATTTATTCATGCACGGAGGAAGATCACAGGAATCAATGATTGAAGTCAACATTCTAATAATAATAATCATATAGAGAACCTTTGCTTTATTCCAGTACAATTACAAACAACAAACGTTTTTGAACAGTTTGACTGACCTGCTTCAGGTCATTTACATACGTTTGTACATTTTTGTATGTGTTTCTGGTTTGAATTTTTCTTTTCCCTTTTAATTGGCCAACGTTTTATCTGATGTTATAAAATCGTGGGGTTAGTTACATGTAAGTAGCTAAATAATCAAACAAACTCTAATCATCTAGTATATTATATACTCAAAAGCTTGTCTTATTGTAATCAGGAAGAAATTTGCCAATTTACACCAAGTTTAAAAAGAACACACAAAACTAATCTAATTGCATTTTAAATAACAAATTAATCAAAGCATTAAATAAATATCAAAAATTTAATGTACGCAAATAAAAATAAGTACAATTGTAACTAGTAATTAAAGCAAAATATAATTCAAAAAACATGTTTTTTTCTTTAAGGTGACACCTTATTCATAATATAATCACAGTATTTGAATGGCAATATATTATAAGTTAACATATTAATCATATAAGTATATAATATGCTAAGATGATTAGTTTCAATATTTAAAATTATTATTAGTAAAGGAAGATAGAGAGAAAAGAGAAAGTAATTAAAAAATGTTACATACATTTAATATAAAATTCTAGATAACCTTATGTATCATAACCTTAAATACAAATCCTTGCACTGTCTGTGACAGAACAGGTTATACAAGTGTATCCAGATCTCACTCATAAAAAATGACTAAATTAAAAAACAATTTTTACATCCTGAATATCACAATAACAAAATGTTAGTTTTTACTGACTTTGCAGAATTAGCATTTGTCAACTGGTAGCATTCAATTACATACTTTTATGTCATCTCATCAAAATTTATTCTATTCATTCTGAATAACAAATCAGTTTAATAAAATGAGCCTATTTATCTCCTTGCAGCAATAAAATCAATAACTTCAACATATTGTAAATTAAGGAATAAAACTGTTTTTTTTTTTTTAATAAACAATTCAATTACTAAATTTTTCAATTTTACATTAAAGGCTATGTCTATATAAAAATTATTCAATTGGAGAGATGAAAAATACATAAAAATCACTCTTCAGATGTAAAAATTTCATATAAATATGTTTGAATCTCTATGGCTCATGTTACAATCTAAAATTAGAATTTAGAGCATCAGATATCCTCTAAAATTAGAATCTTGTGTACAGTACATTTAAAAATGAAGCCATAAAGAAATTCAAAAATATATTAATTTGACTTTTAATATCCTTATTTACAACAAGGATCAAGAGTTAGAAGTTAAAGAATATTCATTCTTGTACTTAACCAATTACTATTTTACTTTAACTCCTAATTAAAATTTAAGAAAAATTCAATAAAATTGAATTTTTCTTAAATTTAACTCTGAAGTTAAAAAGAAACTAAGCTTATACTTAATGAAGCAAGTTAGTTAGCAATGAAAAAAAANAAATTCAATAAAATTGAATTTTTCTTAAATTTAACTCTGAAGTTAAAAAGAAACTAAGCTTATACTTAATGAAGCAAGTTAGTTAGCAATGAAAAAAAATATATATATATATATATAAAAATGTGTGTGAAATATGCAACATTATTTTTTAAGTTTTTCTCAAAAATTAATATTTTCATCATTTTTAATCACTAATTACATATAAAATCATTGGAATATAACAATAAAATATATATTTCATATTTTATTTAGAAATACGAATATAACAGAATACAGAACAGCCAGAGACTTAGGAATACGTTGATGTTTACTATTAAATTAAAGTAAACAAATTTATTAAGAACGAGCAATTATTTATTGTGATGTCATCACAATGCCTGGCTGAAATTTTTAATGATATTTTTAATCTACTTAATTTAAAATATATGCTCTCCATCTCAAATTAGTACTGTAGTATCATGCCCCTGTACATCATACTTTTCAATCAGCAATCTAACTAACTCCTTTTAAGGAAAAGTTTTGAATTTAAATAGAGTGCCTTCCGATTTGCATTGGAAGTTCATATGTAGTTAATCGAAGCCTCCTGCACCTAAGATTTCCATATCCAGTCTCGAATTTTATCTATCTAACTCCATTCTCAAGATTAAGTAAAGACAGACATATGGACGAACAACAGTGAAAATTTATTGGTCTAATTTTTTTCAAATTGCAGTTCAATGATTAAATAGTTATTACATCTCAATAACATAAACCTAACTACTAAGCCATTTTTCTTTTTGGTTACAAGAAAATTAATTACATAAATGAATTTGGACTACAAATAAATATAAGCTCAAATTCAACTAAGCCCACAACATAAATTTTTTAAAAAAATTACAAACTTATTAAAATTTTTTCCATTACTAATTTTTAGTTTATTTGAAATTTTAATCATTAAATAATACAAAATTAATTTTTCAAATTTAATCTTATAACTTTAATATGTAACCACATTCCAAAGCCTTACGTTAGACATCTTTTATATTTTTTAAAATTGATAACTTCCAAGGGTCAATAAACTTAACAGGAAAAAAAAAAAGGCATTTAGTATTCCTTTATTAAAAAAAAAAAAATTATAATTTTTCAAGACAAAATTTAAATTTTAATTAAAGAAAAGAAATGTACAATGTAAAGCTATCATTAGATCATTATCAGCCTAATGAACTTCAAATTTCTAACTATAAACATTTTTGGTTTCAGTTATAAACAGATAAAGTTCAAGATCACTGATTAAAAGATAGCTAAAAATATATTAAGATTTTGAGACTAGCCATTAGGAAATTCAAATTGATAAAAGTATTTTTACATGTCTTTATGTTACGCTATACTCTAAACTCTACAAAATAAAACTGAATATAATTGGAACTATTTTAAAATACATTTCTGTTTTTAAATTAATTAATAAAAAGATACTTTTATCATTCATACATTATTAACTATTTAAGTTCTACCAAATAACTAATTTTGTCTTTGAACATTTAATGTGTAAAAATAAAAAATTCAATTAATAAATTTGATAGGTATAAAATATAAATTTACATCATATAAAATTACTTACAGCATTCTTACAATTAAAACAGAATAAATCAATTCATAAGTTATGAACTAATTCTAAAACTTTACAAACATACAAGGTGCATCTACTAAGTCTGTGGCCTGAATTTATAAGGAGTTTTTGGTAAAAATGATTCAGTTTAGTATCAAGTCTTTTAAAATACACTCCTCTGTAAACTACACAAGTTTCTGCACACTCCTAGTAACTTATGTAGGCCCTCATGGAAGGATATTTTTGAAATACTGCTTAGTTTCTTCCATACAGCCATTTAGATTTCCAAAAATTGACTAAAATGGTCTCCCTTTCAAAGCAAATTTTAATTTGAAGAACAGGAAATAGTCAACTGGAACCTAAAGTTACGCATTTAGACTGCCTTTAGGCCAACTTACAAAGTTTAATTATCTAATTAATTTAGAACTTAGTTATTTGAGTATATCAGACTATAATTTGTTAACACACATATTTCCGAGTAAAATATCAATAACTGCAATAAGTTTTATTAATATTTAGTTATTATTTCATTTATTACTAATTAATCAATATTAAAATTACTTTTAGATAATTCTGTTTATCGTAATCATGTCGATAAAACATCATAAAATTTAAATTAACAGGAATGAATGAAAAAATCGGAATTGTTACATATTTAACTAAAGAGAAATTTCAATTAAAATAAATAATTTTAATGCAAAATGTTACAAATGGTATCATATTAGATAATAGATCTTTTACAGTTTTTAATAATTAATTTTAATATTTAATTTTTTAACTTGTATTTTCAGGAATGCCATTAATATAATTATTATTAATTAAAAAACAAATTTATCTACCTTGACTTTCTTCACTCCTAGTTTAGAAGACAGATTTTCTTCTATTGTATTTACACAGGAATGACAAGTCATTCCCTCAACAGAAATTGAGACTTCATTTAATGAAGACATGTTGAAGAGATTGTTTTAAAAAAGAAAATCCTCGCCTCTTCCTGCTTCTTATTGTCGATACTTCACTTCCTGAAGATAACTAGCTATAAATAAGAATCATATCTTTTAAATGAGCTCTGCACAATATAAAAGTTGTTCTATATTAAGCTAACTACTGTTAATCAATTATATTGTTTAAAATGTTGATCAATGTTAAAATAATTTGTTCTAAAATAATAAAATAATTATATTAACAATCTTCTATGTGAACGTGCTTAATCATTTTGAATTGTTGAACAATGTTACATAATGATATATTAATTGATTTTATTGCTTCACTGAATAAAATAGCCATTATTTTAAATTTTCAACTTTTTTTTGTTGTTACACAAATTACACAATATTAATAAATAGAACTAATTAAAGTATTAATTAATGTTTTAAAAGAATGTGAAAATAATAAACAGATTTTATGTAATAAAAATAATTTTTAAATAAAGAAAATAGTTAGTAATACGTTTTAACAATTTGTAATTGGCCGTAAAATTTCCACGGAATAATATGAAATCACAAAATATCTATTTTTAGTATAATATAAAAGCACGTTCAGTGATTTTAATAACTACACATATCCAAAATTAAAGTTTCCACTGCAAAAATGCAGAGACAAATGCCAAACACAGAGATGAATCATCCCATGCCTTCTCCGAAGCATGCTTGATAAGCTACTGTTATATCAGGAACACTTCCTCACTGTTAGCAGTCTTAACAGACAATTATTTGTCAGAAATGATTTTGCTGTCCATATGGCACATTACATTTTGTTGCTTGGGGGCACTGCTCGTGTCTCATTTTCATGACACTTGCACAACAGGATGGCACTTCGCCGATTTACATATGACGAGTTTTGGCTACTCATATTTCGTGGTATTGATTTTACATGGTTTTCTGATTGTTGCTTTAATTTTGGACATCAGGGTATTAATGGAATTATCAAAAAATAATTATAAATGAGTATTTGTCTGTGCCTGGATACATATACCAAAATATTACAAAATTTTCCTTTAATTTAAAAGAATCCAGTAATTAAAATCAGCAGTAATTAAAACCACAAAAGGCTAACTAAATTAATAAACATCCATAATCTTGAATTTTATATATTTTGCTGTACAAATTAAATTAGAATATCTTCTATGAAATTTAAATTATATATTCTCCTAGATATTTTAAATCAATGTTACATACTAAAAATCTGTTCAAATCATGCTTGCATCATCTTATCTAACTAATGATATTTTACTGAATTTCATCATTGGAACATTCTTTAAAATTATCAGGATTAGCAATGATTGACTACAAGTCTAAGAAAAGTCATATTTATTTGTTCATTATCAAATACAGGTACAAATTTAATCATTTAAAATCATCATTCAATGATATATGTGAGGATTCAGATACAGTGAAAACTGCTTAGATGGGCACCTGTCAAAACAGGCAGAAATTTCTGGCACCGAATAATTTATCCATAGAGTCGTCATATAAGTTACCTGTATTAAACAACCACCTGTGTAACGTGACCGCAGGCATCGATTTTTGATCTGAAACAACATACAACAACTGTAATAAGCGACCACTTCCGCTAATATATCTGGTCTAAACTATTGTTCAACAATGTTTCCCCCTCCTAATAAAATGAATTGGTCTAAACTCTCGTTCAAACCCACATTGGGCACTTCTACCACCCTCGAAATTAGGTCAGGTGTTAATGAATTAGTCTAGCAACAAAGGAAATTCATTTCAGTTTGTTCGAAATTGTCCGAAAAACGAAATAAATGCAAAGTGCTGTCGTTAAAAGATTGTATTAAAGTTATCACAACAGCAATTAGCGGTGAAATTTAACTGTGGGAAAACAAAATTAATTTTTATTTATTGTGAAGCTCATATACAGTACATGTACGATAAATAGTTTCTGTATCAACCTACCTTATTTCCACGATATTTTTAGAAAAATAATATCCAAGTAATTTTTGCTCACAAAATATTCAAAAAACAATAAACGCATTAATGCAAAAATCAGTTTTTTTGCCTTAATTTTTTTTTGATTCCGCAATGACAATCACGGAATGTAACAAAATCGTATTATGAGAAAAAATAATAAAATAATTTTTTTATTAATTAATAATTTTTCTTATTGTACTTAAGAAAATATTAAATATTAAAAAATATGGTATTTTTAAACTTAAAATAAGATTAAACTAACGAATACCAAAACCAAAGTGATGTAGAGATACGACATGCTTGTATATCGATGACGTAATACACGTAACTTGAGGAGCGAACGAAAACAACCGAGTCAAATTAATTAAGTCGGAAAAAGAAAGTGTGCATTATAATCGAGAAAATGTGAGTACTGTATTAATCTTTAAAATACTGGTATTAAATCTGTGTTATAAAACCACGACAAACTCCTGTAAATCGAGTTATCCGATAAGAATAAAATACAATATCAATATAGCCCTGTCATTGAAAAAATTTGCTTATTTTTACTCGCCTCAAGTTTTGCTTAGTAGAAATGGCTAAAAAGTGCACAAAATATGTACTGAAATACAGTATTACAGCACCACCCACCACCTGTATTGGACAACTGTAAAGTTTGCCAACTGAAAGGGGAGTACAATCAATCATGCGTCAGAATGAGCCTAAGGGAAACCGCATATATGGGCTGTGGCGAAGGAGCCAAATGAAGAACAAGTGTTTTACAAGAGAAAAACCATTTATTTGGTCGAATTCATGCTTACATCGATATTAGACAATTCCCAAATCTCGGTGTTCCTTTGGTTGATCATTCATAGCCCAGGCAGACAAGAAGGATCGCTGGACAATGCAGATGTTCAGTGTTATGAAGCTGCGGCATCATAGGTGATCGGCGATAGCACAACACAATAGATAAGGCACAACTGTAGGCTTAATCCAGAGGAGATTCTTCTTCGACCTTGAAGTTCCAATTTTTATAGTTTGTCCCCTGCTATTCACATTTCGGATTGGTCCCTCGTCCCATTCCTCACTTCCTGAGTGGTCTCTCCTTTGTCTCCAGGTGCAAGATGAAACTTTTTCAGGTCGCGGGAAAGGACCGATTCAAGGTGTCCATCTGATACCTCTTTGGCGACTCTGCTCGGTGATTGTTTATAAAACAATAACACCTGCACTTTTCCCCCTCCTAATATAATGAATTAATTTAAAAAATAAAGGAGCAGACAAACTTAAGTCTAGTTTCATATGGAAGCCTTTCTACATCATGTTGCAATTGTCTCATGCAATAATGTTGCTGTGTAATCAGTCTTCCTTTTAAATCCAGAACAAAATACAAGAAACAAATTTTATTGGCCCCCAAGGAAAAAGTTAATCCACAAAAACAATTCCAACTGACTAGCCCAGGAAAAAGATTGTGAGGTTGGAATAGAGGATGTGAGAAGAAGAAACACTGGGGGAACAGTAAGAGATTTAATTTAAGAGGGATTCAAAGAAGGAAGACAAGAAGAGCAATAATAGCAAGAAAAAGAAGAGAAGAAAAGATGAAGGGAGTCAGAATCATCTTTCAAAAAGTATACAGTGACCAGGGAAGAAATGGAGCAGACAGGAAAATAGACAGAAATGAAATATGATGATAACATAAATCAAGAAATCCTCTCAATAACAACCAAACTTTTAGAACCAAGAACTTTCTTTGCCTAAGCAAACTCTTCTCCATAATTTCAAGTGAAATTGAATGCAATGCTCTCTCTCTCTCTCTCTCTTGCAGAAAACCATATGTACAAATACAGTGTACAACTTTCATGTAACTCAATCAAGTTCACATGTTACTGATTAAATCAATATTTAACTCAAACTGAAAAACTGAGCACTGTAATCTCTAATGGAATCTTTATGATAAATCAACACACCTTAGTGGAAGGTGAATGTCACAAGTTGTCAGGTAGGTGGCTGCAAACTGAAACCCTACATATACTTTTTTGAATAAAGTACAGTCGACCCCCCTATAACACTGTTGATAATTCCGTTTTATATGAATTCCATGTTATACGAGTCACTTAGATTTTACAAATATGTGTGCCGGGCTGTGAACAGCTCACGTATTTGTAAAATCTAAGTGACCCTAACATGGAATTCATATAAAACGAAATTTTCAACAGTGTTATAGGGAGGTCAACTGTAACTTACTACTTCTTATTCTAATAAATAAATAAAATAATAAATTAACAAAGAAAAAACTAAAAGAAATAGATGAATAATCTAACAATTGTTCAAATAGTACAAAAAAATTTTTCGAAAATAGATCTATAACAAAGCAGGTAATTGATTTCTCAAAATTCTTCAGTTTATAATTCTTTTTGTGAAACATGGTCTTTGATCTTTAATCAGAGTTCTCTTTCATTCTTATGTCTTTTGCTCTGTTTTGCCTTTACTCATTTCACCAGTATGCTTATGGCTACACATTTTTAAAATAAGTTACACCAAATAGCAGATAAGAAATAGCTTACTAACCTGATATTTGATATGTATTGAATAAAAATTTTTCGTATCATGAATATTAATTATTTAATGTTTCGTTTTTAATTTGTGTTATTTACTATACTTCATTATTTATCAATAATATAACTGCATGAAAGTAATTTTATATTAAAATATAATAAGTGGTCTAGCCTTACAGTGTTTGGAGGTTCAATCCCAACATTTCACATCACTTTGTGATACTCTCGTGTCTGTATTGCAATTTACAATGTTTTTTTTTTTAACAGTATTTTAAAATAATTAAAGGGCTTGATGCAGATGGATCTAGGACAGTGATGACAAACCTATGACCCACATAACAATTCAAGGTACCCACCCACATTGAATGTATTAGGTATTTATTAGGTTTTTAGTAAGTAGGTAGGTACAGGTAACCCCCTTATAACACGGTAGTTACGTTCCAAAAAATTGCCGTGTTATGCGAATCCGTGTTATACGAAACAAAGAACTAATACGAAAAGGAGGGTTAGGTTCCAAAAATTAAAAAAACATGCTAGTATATTTTCATAATTAAGATAAATATCTTCATTAAAAT